ATTTAAAGGATATAGCATGTCATTTTTTTCTTAGAAAATATTATATGCTACATTTTATACATCAATAATTCATCGACATTTCATCAACGAGAACTAATCGCATAGATTTAGTTCACTACTACTACTACTACTACTACTACTACTACTACTACTACTACTACTACTACTACTACTACTACTACTACTACTACTACTACTACTACTACTACTACTACTACTACTACTACTACTACTACTACTACTACTACTACTACTACTACTACTACTACTACTACTACTACTACTACTACTACTACTACTACTACTACTACTACTACTACTACTACTACTACTACTACTACTACTACTACTACTACTACTACTACTACTACTACTACTACTACTACTACTACTACTACTACTACTACTACTACTACTACTACTACTACTACTACTACTACTACTACTACTACTACTACTACTACTACTACTACTACTACTACTACTACTACTACTACTACTACTACTACTACTACTACTACTACTACTACTACTACTACTACTACTACTACTACTACTACTACTACTACTACTACTACTACTACTACTACTACTACTACTACTACTACTACTACTACTACTACTACTACTACTACTACTACTACTACTACTACTACTACTACTACTACTACTACTACTACTACTACTACTACTACTACTACTACTACTACTACTACTACTACTACTACTACTACTACTACTACTACTACTACTACTACTACTACTACTACTACTACTACTACTACTACTACTACTACTACTACTACTACTACTACTACTACTACTACTACTACTACTACTACTACTACTACTACTACTACTACTACTACTACTACTACTACTACTACTACTACTACTACTACTACTACTACTACTACTACTACTACTACTACTACTACTACTACTACTACTACTACTACTACTACTACTACTACTACTACTACTACTACTACTACTACTACTACTACTACTACTACTACTACTACTACTACTACTACTACTACTACTACTACTACTACTACTACTACTACTACTACTACTACTACTACTACTACTACTACTACTACTACTACTACTACTACTACTACTACTACTACTACTACTACTACTACTACTACTACTACTACTACTACTACTACTACTACTACTACTACTACTACTACTACTACTACTACTACTACTACTACTACTACTACTACTACTACTACTACTACTACTACTACTACTACTACTACTACTACTACTACTACTACTACTACTACTACTACTACTACTACTACTACTACTACTACTACTACTACTACTACTACTACTACTACTACTACTACTACTACTACTACTACTACTACTACTACTACTACTACTACTACTACTACTACTACTACTACTACTACTACTACTACTACTACTACTACTACTACTACTACTACTACTACTACTACTACTACTACTACTACTACTACTACTACTACTACTACTACTACTACTACTACTACTACTACTACTACTACTACTACTACTACTACTACTACTACTACTACTACTACTACTACTACTACTACTACTACTACTACTACTACTACTACTACTACTACTACTACTACTACTACTACTACTACTACTACTACTACTACTACTACTACTACTACTACTACTACTACTACTACTACTACTACTACTACTACTACTACTACTACTACTAATAATAATAATAATAATAATAATAATAATAATAATAATATTAATATTAATAATAATAACGATAATGTTGTTATTATTATTATATACAACATTTTAATCTATATGATATTAATATTATTGTTGATGTGTTTATGTGTCTGGTATTGATTACTGTGTTATTTTTCTTTTTTTCTTGAATCTTATCCAGTGTATCAATAGTGATCCATTCGACGTGATAGTGCTTTTTGTGATCCAGAACCTCATGACATGTTGAAATGACGCATACATTTAGATCACTTTATTATTATTATTATTATTATTATTACTATCATCATAATATACAACATTTAAATTCATATTATTGTTTATGTGTCTTATTCTTTAAATCTTATTCACTATGGTAATAGAAATGAGTAATTAGGAATGTAGAATAATATGGAATTTTTCTAATATTTTCTATTGAAATGGATATTTATATTTGATATTGTAAAGTTTTATTCAAGTATTTCATCATTAAATCAAATGACTGATTTTGTAAAGTTTTAAAGTGAAGTCATTTCATTTGTATGATGTTATATCCTGAAGAGAATATTGAATGGTAACTGTCGGAATCCACTGATGAATCATTATGATATATATAGATGTATTGTATGATTGTTAAGTAGCTAAACTATGCATATTCATCTTCATCTTATGATAAGCTTCATTTTAATCTACAGACTATTATTATATGATTTACTGTTCTTGAGTTATGCCCAGTCTATTAATATAAAATCTCCCATATTCATAGCCACTTTTGAATAGAACTTGTACAAATGTTATTTTCTATTTTATGCTACAATATGGCCTGCTTGGTTTGTATATAAATCTAGTATGTTTGCAAAGATACTTCACATTCTCGTTAGCGAGATTTCGGATGAAGAACAAGTACCAAAAGACTGGAAAGAAGGGCCAAAGAAAGGCGATCTAAGCAGGTATGATAACTACAGGGAAGCACTCTTCTCTCAGTACCGGGAAAAGTCTTCAACAGCGTATTGTTAAACAGGATGAAGGACTCTGTAGACACCTAACTTCGTGATCAACAAGCAGGATTCCGTAAGGATAGATCGTGTACAGACCAAATCGCAACTCTACGGATCATTGTGGAACAATCAATTGAATGGAATTCATCACTCTACATCAACTTCATTGACTACGAAAAGGCATTTGATGGCGTGAATAGGACAACACTATGGAAACTTCTTCGACACTAAGGCGTAACTGAGAAGATAGTCAATATCATACAGAGTTCATATGATGGATTACACTGCGAAATCGTGCATGGAGGACAGTTGACAAAGTCGTTCGAAGTGAAGACCAGTGTTAGGTAAGGTTGCTTACTCTCACCCTTTCTCTTTCTCCTGGTTATCGACTGGATCATAAAGACGCCAACATCTGAAGGGAAGCATGGGATACAGTGGACATCTAGTATGCAGTTGGACGATCTAGACTTTGCAGATGATCTAATCCTCCTATCGCAATCGCAACAACAAATGCAGAAGAAGACGACCAGTGTAGCAGCAGCCTCAGCAACAGTAGGTATCAACATACACAAAGGGAAATGCAAGATCCTCCGATGCATCACAATGTGAATCATACTTGACGGAGATGGTTTGGAGGATGTAAAAACCTTCACATATCTGGGCAGTATCACTGATGAGCATGGTGGATGTGATGAAGATGTGAAGGCACGGATCGGAAAAGCAAGAGCCGCATTCCTACAATTGAAGAACATATGGAACTCAAAACAACTTTCAACCAAATTCGAAGTCACAATCTTGAATAACAACGTCAAGACAGTCCTACAAACGAAGCTGAAACATGGAGAACTACTACAACCGTCATCAAGAAGGTACAAGTAATTATAAATAGTTGTCTACGCAACATGCTCAACATCCATTGGCCGAATACCATCAGCAACAGCCTTTTGTGGGAGAGAACAAACCAGCTTCCAGTTGAAGAAGAAATTAGGAAAAGACGATGGAAATAGATAGAACATAAATTGAAATCATCAAACTACATCACGAGATAAGCCCTAACTTGAAATCCTGAATGGAAGCGGAAAAGTGAAAGGCTAAAGAACACATTACGTGAAGAAATAGACACATATATGAAAAGGATGAGTAGTAACTGGAAACAGCTGGAAAGGATTGCCCAGGACAGGGTTGAATGGAGAAAGCTGGTTAGCTGCCTATGCTCCTTCACGAGGAGTAATAGGCGTAAGTAAGTAAGTGATATATATATCAATATAGTTCTTATAATCTTTGTCTTCTTATTTATCAAAGAGACTAATTATTTTTACAATAATAAGCATTAAACAACTAAACTTTACAAAATCCTATTTCTTTCCATTAATTCAGTAAGATCACACACACACACACACACACACACACACACAAAACCCCCATTTTATTTGAAACAGAAATGATTGTCATGTTCATATGTTCATTACTGTCTATGATACACACAAAAAAGGTAACTAATTATGAATGTATTAGAGTGTTACTTAAAAAATTCCAAAAACACTACTATAATTAGTAAATGATGATGATGATGATGTAAACATAGTTACTACTTCAAGCAGAAATATAAAATGCAAAAAAAAATCGATTTTCTGGTACTGTATATTATAGATTGTTTTTCTTTTGATTTAATTATGATTCGATAGTGTTATATCCCGATAAACATAATGAATGGTAACTTTCGGGATCCATTTATGGATCAATACTATGAGTATATTATTGTCGTATAATTGTTATGTAACTAAACTGCTCATATTTCATATCCCTGTTATTATGAGTTTTATTTCGACTTATGAACTATTATCATACGGTTTACCATTCTTGAGTTATGGCCTGTTTATTACTCACTATCTCCCTCATTCACAGCCACATTTGACTAATTCTTGGGCAAATGTTGCTTCCCATTTTATGGTACGATGTGGTCTGTTTGGTTTGTATATAAACCCAGTATGTTTGAAATATAATGATTCATATCTCGGAGGCTGAGATTGGTGTTCTGGAATTAACACGTTGAGCTAGTCTAGAAGAAGGACCGATAGAGACGCTAGAGTGCTCATACGGGTTTTAGGCGTCATAGGTCTGATCGATAATTCGCTGTTTCCTAATTGGTGGTATCGTTACGTTATACATTAACAAGGTACACTGGCCACAAGTCACAATAGATAGTAAATTGAATCAAATATTCAATTTGATACTTTACAGAATATTTTGGTGAATCAAGTACTGTATCATTGAATGAAGTTAATACAAATGTCAAAACAGTTTTATTGTATGAATCTGAAACATGAAGAATTTCTACAATCATTATGAAAGAGGTATAAGTATTTATATACAATTACTTAATATCCATCGATTGGATACTATCAGCAATAGCCTTACTGTACGAGAGAAAAAACTAGCTTTGAGATGAAGAAGAAATTCAGAAAAGACGATGGAGGCGGATAGGACATACTTTGAAGAAATCACCAAAGTGCATCATGAAGCAAGCGCTAGCTTTGAACCTTGAAGGTAAATAGAAATGAGGAAGACAAAAAAACACACTGTGTCTAGAATTGGTAGCATATATCAAAAGAATAAATAGCAACTGAAAAGAACAGGAAAGGATTGTTCGGGACAGAGTTGCTGAGCGGCTTATGCTCCTCCATGAGGGTAATAGGCATAAGTTAGTAAGTATTTCCTGTACTCACAGTAATAGTTGAACTTGAGGGTTGGAGGTAGTCGATAGAAATTTATGATTCTGTTTGGTACTAATCAGCAAGTCTATTAAACGTGAGAAACCAGCAATATGTTCGATAGAATTTGATTAGCACTATGGTTTAGACAAAAAAAGACATTAATTGTACTTAGTAAGACAGAGTAGAAAGTCAGTAATCATTTAGTTCTATAACAAACAAACGAGTAAACGATATTCAAAAGTACGCAGATGAGAACACTTTATATTATTATTTTGGTCTTGAGTGCTGTTGGAAGTATAAGGGCGGTTATCACTTCCCAGTCGCCTACACTATGGAAGGGTCATCCAGTGTCATAGTTATGATTTGTACTACAGACATATACAGGTTGAAACTTACCACCACTAAAACTGTAAATCTTACATCAATTAATCACCAATAACATCTAATTTATTTCATTTTCTGGATTATTCAATCTGTGTTGGGTTTGTAGTGACTCACGTTTATCACGAGAACACGACTGGTTTAATAAAAACAATTATTATTATAACCAACTGTACCAGTGTTTGTTTTAACGTGCTTTTGTTTGACTGTGCTAATGACAGCTACTTTGTGCTTTCATTCTTATACTTACACTTTGATTGTAACTGCGCGCGAATTCGGTTACCTTCTGTAACCAAGGTTGTATCCTGGCACGATCTCGGTATCCTTTCGATGCCACGAGATCGCCAGCTAATAAACCTCGACTTGGTCCATTAACTGTCTTCTGATATTCGGCTTCTCGGGGATTTTATGGAGTCATTTGGAACGAGCTTCTTACGCCTTCTGATTCATTTGGCACGTGTTTCTTTGTAGTGGTGTTCATAGTTAACCTCAACTCGACGCCACGCTACAATTGGTAATCTCAATTCGAATACAGGTTCATGATTGTTCATTTTTAAGATGTCTTATTACAATACGAAAAAGTCAAACTGTAATTCCTGATTTCCAATGATTGCATAGCTCAAGTTAGCTCATGACTTATGTTATAAAATTCAAAAAAATTTCTATAAACCCTATGTAGTAATAACAATCATGTACTCACTGATATCTAATCTCGAAATGTTATTCCAAAGGTTCTTGTGAGAAGTCATGATGATATCAAATGAGAGGCAGTTACTCACAGATAATAATAGAAAGTAATTAAATTACATAATATCTCAAAGTGATTGAAGTTAGAAATGTCAACCATTGGATAACGACACAAGAATCTAAATCTAAGAACCTCATACCGAACTTCAAATATTTTAAGCTTAATCCTCAGTAGAGTCATGAATCTTTACTTATGAGGAATCATAAAACAACTAACTAGTACTTTCTAGATTTAAACTATTATCTAACTAAAGTTAGTTCGTGGTGTAAACTATGAAATTCAATTAAGTCCATATATCCTCCTCTAATGATTCATTTACTTCTATGAATTGTTTACATTAATTTGTATTATGTAATTCATGTATTAAATGAAATAAAGACGAAGAAATGAACAATCATTTATCAAGTATATACTACTTATCATAAGTATGGGTAATTATTAAGTCTAAGTGATAAATGACAGTAGAATTTTGTTGATAAATCACTTTACATTATGTTTTCAGTTAAGGTGTTGTGGAGATTGTTAAGTTTTTGATTGAACTTAACAATCTCCACAACACCTAAACTGATAATTAACATGTGCTAACTAGTGACTAGTTTCGTGAGAAAATTCTCGGAGTTCTAGTGAGAAGCCATGACCAGTGGAGCTAGTCCGCGTCGGGTAGAAACAGGTGTCTCTCTCAGTACAATGGAAGATGGTCGCACGATTTCGTGGATTGGTTGAGGTTAGACATTAGCACCATTGGATGCCAGCTCAGTGGTCTAGTTGATTAAGCGAATTTCGCGAGACTGATAGGTCCTCGGTTCGAACCTCGCGGGGTTCGGGATCATGGATGCACACGATTGAGGAGTCCCATACTGGGACGAAAAGACCGTCTGGTGCTTTCAGGTTTTCCATGGTGATCTAGCTTCAATTGACTCATGATCTAAACCATTGAGATATACATTAGTCGAAAGATAACTTTTGAGTTACTTAAATAAACACAAGGAAATCAATTTCATCTATCAAAAACTATATATATATTATTACAAACGGAGCTATTATCACTGACACATTTAGTCCACTATTGATGTATTAGTCTAGGACACCTGAATAAATTGTAAGTATTACGTGTTATAATCTATTTATTATGATATTTATATATTAATTATGGCAACTGGTTCCTAAAATATCACCCATATCAACAAAATACGCATAACAATGTAGATGTAGAACAATTTTTAATGGAATTAAATTTTCAATATGGGGTTTGTGGAGATAGACCAGTGTTAGACCACCAGTAAAAACCTGAAAACATTGGATAGCCGTTTCATCCCAGTATAGGATTTCTCACCAATGTGCATTCACGACGCCATATGTAAAAATCGAATTCAAGACCTTCAATCTCACACGCGAACACTTAGCATCAAAACCGCTGAGTCGACATCCAACGGTGTTAATGTTTAACTTTAAACAATCCACAATATTTCAAGACCATCTTTCATTGTCTTCAGTAGGTAACTGGCTTGCGCTCAACACGCTTAACTTATTAGTTTTCTACAGGATCGTTAAAATACAGAGAACCCTTAGCAGTGTATTATATGAAAGTATTCGAACATTCGCCATTCATATTTGTCAAAACATGTTTAACGAAATACATCTATCAAGTCCAATCAACTTGATTAGACTGACTTGTTAGAGGTATTTATTAATCATAATGTCTTGTCAATTGCTGTAGAAAAACTCTGAATCACTCATAGTTTTCATATCAGTCGGTGATTTTGAATGCTGTTAGAGGTATGAGGGCAGTTATCACTTTCCGGTTGCTCACACCATGGAAAGGTTCTTCCAGAGGTACCTGAAAATAAAATTGGGTTATGGGTGGTCTTAGTGAGCTGAGTGAGTGACTGCAGTGCCTAAGGGACAACAAATTTAGGCCGATTACACACGACCTTTTTGTGAGTAATGTTCATGTTAGCTCCGTACTTGTTGAGACCTTACCACCGGACACAGAAATCCATGGGATAAGGCGAGATGTGCATTTTTAGGGTCAACCTTTTCTAACCCCACCTCTCCTTGTGGAAAGGTAGCATCACTGTCATGCTGATTGTTTGAAAGAAACACCTTACTGACGTCACACCTCTGTACAGTCAACAGTATGACTTCACCTTCAGATCTTGAGTTTACTGCTCTTAGTCTTACCGCTTTTAAACTGACCTGTCTAGTATGGTGGGATCTTGTCTGTCAGCTAAAACGTGAGACCAGGCACATATATGCATCAGTCCAAGTTGCCATACCGCATTAGCACAACAAGATGGAAACCGGATTCATAGAAGTAGTTAGTTCAGTGGTGGTGATATATAAAAGAAGGATTTTGTATAGGGATATAATACAGGAAAAAAGAATCAGTTCGTAGAAGGAAAGATACAATGCAATTTTAATCCCATAGTTTGAGGGAAGACAGAAAGTATACACACCTACTCCATTGTGATCGATTCTGAGCCATGTCATCCACAGTCTGCAACCATTGGTTACAACAGTCACGCGGACCACAACCAATTAGTCTGCATCTAACAACATAGCTCAGACCATAAGTTAGTGACTGTGTGGACTGATGCCAGGTTTTGGTTTGACCGCCCCTTACTTTCTTCCAACCATCCCCAATACCCGTTAGCATCGCAAGTCGTGGTAATCGGTGTTCAGGTAAACGTAACACGTGGCCCAAACATCTTAGTCGATGAAAATTCACAACGTCATCAACTGATTTACCATCATTCTCTAATACCCCGCATCTAGCCTCACTATTACTTACCCGGTGATCCCAGCAGATGCAAGCAATATTTCTAAAACATCTGTGAATAAATACTAGTAGCTTACGAATATCTTCTACTCTTAATGGCCATGTTTCGCTGTCGTAAATTAAAACAGAACGGACTGCTGCATAGTGTACTCGTCCCTTAATTGATAGACGGATATGTTGCCTTCGCCGTCGGTGACGTAAGTTGACAAAAGCCAAACGAGCTTTTCGAATCTGTGCTGAGATTTCGTCAGATACCAACCCATTAGGGCTGAGGTAGGATCTTGAGAAACGATTGTTCTAGTCAGTAAAGCTCAATTTGTTTCATCAGCTCAACCATCACATCATGATAGGAACAACAATCGTTGATTCCCTATCCACACTGATCATATCAATTCATATAAAATGAAAGTTATTATTCACAATTAATAAGATTCATACAATTAATTTAAACAATTATTTATTCATAACATAGAAAACAGTAGGGAGAGAAACAAATCAGCAACAATAACAACAACATTCAATGTATTATAGTCTTTAATAAAATGAATTAATCAATCAATCAATGAATAATCAATAAATCATTCAAATCAATGAATTAACTCAATAAATCAATAAATTGATCATAGTAACAATGAAATATCCTTTTGATCAACGAAAACATGTTTGTTTATTTTATTTTATTGATTTATTGATTATTTTTTTTGGAAAAAAATTAAAAAAATAAATATAATTATGTACATAAATTTTTTGTATCCATAGATCTATTAAGCATTAAAATGGAAATAATTAAATAAACCCCTTGTATAATTGAAAATAGAAAACATAATGAAATGAATACAATTGTATATTGTTGTATATAATCAGTTAATATATGAACACAACCCTGTTAAGTAAAAGTTGTTTTTTTTTGAAAAAAAAGAAAAGAAAAAGAAAAAGAAATACATGAGATCAATCAAAAGTTTAGATAAATTATGTCATAAAGAAAATATGATACCCACAAATATTATGGTACGCTTGAGAGTGGGGAGAGTTATCTCTCTCTCACTCTTTCTCTCTCTCTCTCTCTTGAAATGCTTTCACATGGACACATGCATACAACTACTGACATGAAAATCCTATTCACGACCTTCTCGTGGTGTGGGAAGTGTTTACGAAATTGAAAGGATAAAAAACGAATGTCTGACACTAAAGGAGTTGAAATACCCTGATTCCAAACCAATGCTCTACATGGGCTCCAGGATTCTTGAGGAACGAATGGCATATGAACCAATATTGGTCACCGGTTACCATGGGACTGCATCACCTTACGTTGCTCCACTGCCTTGTGGGTCAGACTTTTAAATCAAAGGCTCTGGGTGTGGGCGCTCTACGAAAACCACCTGTTTCGGTTCGGTAAGCCAAGCAATATCCAAGCTCTCACACAAATCGAATGATTTATGTGGCGTATATCTATTTTGTGCCTCCTTGTACCAATGTTTATGTGTTTAAATAAAATGAAATAAATAAATGAACAATTCAGATGGAGCTTTGTTTGCTGAGCTAGATGGTTTGGTTGTGGACTGACATCATCAGTACAAAACTCAGGTTCAAGTCGAGTGTTTGAATTTCTCCACATAAGTTTGGCAGCTTATCCTGTACACCTCGATGCTGATTGGCTCTTGTTGACTTTAAACCTATCACTGTTTACTTCTTTGTTTTGGTTGTGCCTTTCATTAGTTTGATTTTTGTTCCTATATTTTTCCATCATTTTCCTTATGATTAATAAATTGAATCGATTTCAATATGCTTGTTGATTGCTGATTGGCCTGAGTGTCAATCTTCTAAAAATTCCCTGGTGTTTTTGAAGTTGCTTCTATCCAAAATTTCCACAGTTGTCCACATGTCGATGATGCCGTTCAGAAAAACTATGAAAGCTCCACAACCAAACCATCCAGTTCAAAGAAAAAAAATCCATCAAAATCATCCACCTGACCTACAAATCTCCACTATCTCAAAATTACATTTCTGTTTTAAGTAACAGGTTGGAAAAAAAGAGCACAGAATAAGATACTCTTCATTTAAATATTAACTAGAATATGATTGGAAACTAAGGAATTACTGGTTAGCTATTTTATTGTAGTGTGAAACTTTTATCTAAGATCAAGTTTTACTTTAAACTATAAAGTCTTCACAAATGATCCTATACTAAACGATAAACTGAATATATTCAAATCTGAACTTGATAAGTGGTGTTCTTGATGTAATGGTGATTCACTGTGTCGGTCAGACTCAATGGAAAATGTTAACAATAACTAAGCTATACTTTATTTGATCAACTAAGAGTAATCTGAATTCATTTCATTAACGTTCATTCATGATTAACCAAGTCTATAGTGGAATGTTAGTTAGTAATTTTATGACAAAACTAAGAATAACAAACATTATATTTTACAGTATAGTGTGTTGAATAATTGTAGACAACTTTGAAAATTATAAACAAAGATGGATAGTGTCTAGTAGTGGAATCCATGAAGCACGTTCCGTTCTATTTAAGACTTGTCAGCTAGATGTACCTTCATCTCGAAGTTGATATTCACTCTGGGACTCGAACTCAGTACGGAGTGAATTTATAACTTTATAAATTATCTAAATAACAATAAGATAAACATCTAGCCTGAATTTAATTTGATCATTTTGTATAAAATATGATTATCCACTTAATCAAACATTTACATATACACATTTTACCACGGATACAGAAGGCTCGACTAGCTTTTGCCAACTTGTGTCATTTATGGAGTGGGGGAGATATCCGTCTATCAACCAAAGGATGTGTTTACTGTGCAGCAGTTCGTTTCGTCCTACTTTATGGCAGTGAAACATGGCCGGTAAGAGTAGAGGATATTCGTAGGTTACTAGTATTTGATCATAGGTGTCTTCGAAACATTGCTCGTATATCATGGTACCATCGAGTAAGTAATGCAGTTGTTAGGAAACGAGTACTAGGTAAGTATGGCAAATTAAGTGATGAAGTAGTGGAACTTCATCAGTTGAGATGGCTGGGACACGTGTTACGTATGTCCAAACACTGAATGCCCGACGTGCGATGTTTTATGGTGTAGGAGTAGGTTGGAAGGAAGCTAGGGGTGGTCAGACCAAAACATGGCACAAGTCCATGAAGTCACTGACAAGTGGACTGAGTGAGCCATGTTGGTAGGTGTAGATTACCTGGTTGGGGACTGAGAGATGATAGCAACCGATGGTTAGAGATCTTGAATGACATGGCTCAAAATTGTTTGCAATGGCGCAGTTGAATCCAGTCTTTGTGTTCTCCCAAATTCTAATCTTCTGAATTCTTCATGTCCCTTATTTTCTTTCCAAATTTATTTCACTGGGTTATACTCCTTGAATAACATCTTCAAACCCTAATGTTTCCGATTACTGCTTATACTTTTACTATCTCTACCACTACAGAATTTGGATCGACCACTGCATCTCTGTGCTAATGTGGTATGGCAACTCGAACTGATATACGTACGTACGAAGTTCTACGTTGTTAGTGACTGACTGACTGATTAACTGTATTGATTATTATATGAGTATCAGCCAAAAACATTACATTGGATGAATAGAAGGAAGTCCTTCAACTTAGATGTAATAAACATATTACACAAGGTGACCTCTCAAAATGTAATCACCAGTATATTTAAACATATAAACAAAAAAAAGTCAACTAGTCAAGATTTCATGAAATCATTCAAGTCTATGGTGTTTTTCAGTTGACAGAAAATATATCTATCAAATGTCTGAAGGTGTATTTGTATTTTCAACTTGAACTGGCTGTTAAGGTTTCTTATGGCCTTATAACATAAAGGTTATTTCATTATATCCTAGTTTTTCAATTCTACCACTTATTACATTACATAAGTATTAATCACAACGAGACTATCATTTATGAACGAATCAATCGAACATAAGATATCGATAGAACAATGAGAAGATGGAGTTGATCTGAAAAATGTGATTTATTTGCGCGATACATTTCGAACAATAACGCACCAATACATCACATTTTTCAGATCAACTCCATCTTCTCATTGTTCTATCGAAATTTATAAAGGGGAGTAATTACTTTAGATATAAGATAACAAGTCTGAGGTTTCGGCGTGAAATACATCCATCCATTTGGCTAAACAACGTTTCGACATTTTAACTGATGTCAGGTCGTGATAAAAACCATAAATTTGATTCCTAACCATAACTATCAATTGTAAATCATTATTTTAATTTGTCACACTGGTTTATAACCCTCATTCTCAAGATCACTTTGGCATCGCTGAAAGGTCGTCCATAAATTATAGTCTCAACTCGTTCTATTCAAACGCCAACTTTCAATCAAACAATACGAATTGTATTAAAACTTCACCCCATCGCACAAGCACGTAGCTATCAGGACTCAGTAGCTAAGTGGATAACGTGATGGCGTTTGAAGTGAACGATACTGGGTTCGAGTCCCAGGGTGAACACCAACTCTGAGATACAGCTACATCCAGCTGACGAGCCTCAGACAGGACGAAACGCGCATCCTGGATTATACTGTTAACTACCATCTATCTTTGTTTATAATACTTGTGAATTAAGTCAATACGCACAGTATGCACATATGCCAATAAGATACTGGTCGATTGTAGTCTTAAATATCAATGAAAAGATTCAAGTAAAACAATACCATATGAATTTGATTTCAATAGTTGAGATCATGAATCAATTAAAGCTAGACCATCATGGGAAATCTGGAAGTACCGTTTCGTCCTATTGTGTGACTTTACATCCCTGCCTCATGGGATTCCCATCCAGGAGTTATCAGTCTCACGAGCGGGAGCTTAAACACTAGACCACTGAACTGGCATTCAACCGTGGTAATGTCTAACTTTAACTAATCCACGAAATTCATCAGTTTAAGAAAGATCTTAGAATCCTATGAAATTGTATAACATATCAGTTTAATTTACTAAGAAATAATTCATATATTAACTTACTCTTGCATAAACTAAATAACCAATGATACAAGAGAATGGTATATTCATACCCAATTTTCTATAATCCAAATAAGATTCAGCTCCACAACATTTAAACTATGAACAACAACAAACGTAAGAAAAAGAAGAAGAGAAAGAAAACATGATCAACATGAATGTCATATCCAAACAAATCAATATTTCAATCATGTAAACAATAATAATAAAGATGAAATGTATCATTACTTCAGTTTGTAAATGATCCATTTCCATTTCATATTGTGGGTTTTCATAATAGAATTTCACACTATCTAATAATGCACTGTGTGTAGTTGTATAGAACTATAGAAATGAAAGAATAAATATTATATTGAATTTGTAATGAAACGAACTTGATCATACATTACAGCTGATGTTGTTGCTATACCAATTTCAATGAGTGTAACAATACACAAACTAATTATATGCTAAAGAAAAGAAAAGAAAAAGAAAAAGAAAAAAGACAATTTAATTTGACATGAATACAGCTTTTAATATATTGTCAAGGATGAATGGTTAAGTTTATTGAAGCTGTAAATTTAACCTCACCCCTCCGTCCCTTATGTGTACAAAAACAATTTGTTGTAACCTTGACTTTACCTAAGTAACCCTTAAGTTATTCTATGCCCTTGGATAATGCGATAATTTCTTATTCTTTCTATACGATATAAGAAAAAAATGTTACTTTCCACTTTGTCACCTTTCATATAATTGACCCTTATTAACTTTCATATAAAATGATTTGGTAAGTATATGTACGACCAGATTATTCGAAATGTATAGCGTAAATACATCACATTTTTTGATTGAGATCATGAACCGATTGATGTTAGACCACCGTTAGAAATCTGGAAGCACTGGATGGCCATTTCGTCCTATAGTAGGACTCTTCAGCAGTGCGTATCCACGATCCCACTCGAGGGATTCAAACCCACGGCCTTCAGTCTCGCGCGCGAACGCTTAACCTACTTAACCATTGAGCTGGCATCCAATGGTGTTGGTGTCCAACATCAACCAGTCCACGAAATTGCGCGACCATCTTCCATTTCACTGAGATAGACACCTGTTTCTACCCTACACTGATTAGCTCCATGGGGCACGGCTTCTCATTAGAACTCCGAGAATTTCCTCACGAAGCTAGTCACTAGTGAACACATGTTAATTATCAGTTTAGGTGTTGTGGAGATTATTAAGTTTTTGATTGAGGACGAAACAGCTTCAAGGTTTCTAACGATGGTTTAACATCAATCGATTCATGATCTCAATCAACAAACTAATAATCTTCATAACCCCTATTCTGACATCATATTTATTCAGATCAACTCCCTCTTCTCATTGTTTTATGAAGAATTTTTTAAAAGGAACTAATTGCTTTAGAAAATTTAATACCAAAACAAAGAAGAATCATTGAATAATCCATACCATTAAAGCAATTGAATTCATTGGTTTCCATAATCCAATATATCCAATTAATGCAGCTATCAAACCGAAACATCCAGTAAATAGAATAGTTGGAATGATAGCTGATATTGGTGTATGTAAAATGGTTGTATATTTTGATAAAGTATTTTGTGTTATTATACCTAATATAAGTAGAATCATGTTAAATATCTTTTTTTTGTTTTTGTTTTTAATGAATAGAATTATACTACTTACAACAAATAAAGTATTTAATGTAATAAATATTTTCTGCCAAAATTCTCTTGATGATGAAACGCACATCATTTTCTTAATTCTAAAAAAAAAGAAGGAAAAAGAAAAAGAAAAGAAATTTAATCACTGGGTTATTATAAAATGAAGTTTTAATGTAAAACATGGTCGCAATGAATCAAAATGTCAATCAAATAGATTATTGCATTGATGGACATAACATCTTCGATAATCAATTTACCCTTACTGTTGAGAAATTGTATAAAAATCTATTTTTACATCGGTCAAATATGTCGTCAGTTAGTGTACAATACAATTTATATACATACATATATATGACTTTTAAGGAAATCAGTAATATCATCATCATCATCCAAAGTATCATCATCATCGTCATCCAAAGCATCATCATCATCATCATCCAAAGCATCATCATCATCGTCATCCATAGCATCATCATCGTCATCCAAAGCATCATCATCATCATCATCATCCAAAGCATCATCATCATCGTCATCCAAAGCATCATCATCATCGTCATCCAAAGCATCATCATCATCGTCATCCAAAGCATCATCATCATCGTCATCCAAAGCATCATCATCATCAAAAGCATCATCATCATCGTCATCCAAAGCATCATCATCATCGTCATCCAAAGCATCATCATCATCGTCATCCAAAGCATCATCATCATCGTCATCCAAAGCATCATCATCATCAAAAGCATCATCATCATCGTCATCCAAAGCATCATCATCATCGTCATCCAAAGCATCATCATCGTCATCCAAAGCATCATCATCATCATCATCATCCAAAGCATCATCATCATCGTCATCCAAAGCATCATCATCATCGTCATCCAAAGCATCATCATCATCGTCATCCAAAGCATCATCATCATCAAAAGCATCATCATCATCGTCATCCATAGCATCATCATCGTCATCCAAAGCATCATCATCATCATCATCATCCAAAGCATCATCATCATCGTCATCCAAAGCATCATCATCATCGTCATCCAAAGCATCATCATCATCGTCATCCAAAGCATCATCATCATCGTCATCCAAAGCATCATCATCATCATCATCATCCAAAGCATCATCATCATCGTCATCCAAAGCATCATCATCATCGTCATCCAAAGCATCATCATCATCAAAAGCATCATCATCATCGTCATCCAAAGCATCATCATCATCGTCATCCAAAGCATCATCATCATCGTCATCCAAAGCATCATCATCATCGTCATCCAAAGCATCATCATCATCAAAAGCATCATCATCATCGTCATCCATAGCATCATCATCGTCATCCAAAGCATCATCATCATCATCATCATCCAAAGCATCATCATCATCGTCATCCAAAGCATCATCATCATCGTCATCCAAAGCATCATCATCATCGTCATCCAAAGCATCATCATCATCGTCATCCAAAGCATCATCATCATCAAAAGCATCATCATCATCGTCATCCAAAGCATCATCATCATCGTCATCCAAAGCATCATCATCATCGTCATCCAAAGCATCATCATCATCGTCATCCAAAGCATCATCATCATCGTCATCCAAAGCATCATCATCATCGTCATCCAAAGCATCATCATCATCAAAAGCATCATCATCATCGTCATCCAAAGCATCATCATCATCGTCATCCAAAGCATCATCATCGTCATCCAAAGCATCATCATCATCATCATCATCCAAAGCATCATCATCATCGTCATCCAAAGCATCATCATCATCGTCATCCAAAGCATCATCATCATCGTCATCCAAAGCATCATCATCATCATCATCCAAAGCATCATCATCATCGTCATCCAAAGCATCATCATCGTCATCCAAAGCATCATCATCATCATCATCATCCAAAGCATCATCATCATCGTCATCCAAAGCATCATCATCATCGTCATCCAAAGCATCATCATCATCGTCATCCAAAGCATCATCATCATCGTCATCCAAAGCATCATCATCATCGTCATCCAAAGCATCATCATCATCATCATCATCCAAAGCATCATCATCATCGTCATCCAAAGCATCATCATCATCGTCATCCAAAGCATCATCATCATCAAAAGCATCATCATCATCGTCATCCAAAGCATCATCATCATCGTCATCCAAAGCATCATCATCATCGTCATCCAAAGCATCATCATCATCGTCATCCAAAGCATCATCATCATCAAAAGCATCATCATCATCGTCATCCATAGCATCATCATCGTCATCCAAAGCATCATCATCATCATCATCATCCAAAGCATCATCATCATCGTCATCCAAAGCATCATCATCATCGTCATCCAAAGCATCATCATCATCGTCATCCAAAGCATCATCATCATCGTCATCCAAAGCATCATCATCATCAAAAGCATCATCATCATCGTCATCCAAAGCATCATCATCATCGTCATCCAAAGCATCATCATCATCGTCATCCAAAGCATCATCATCATCGTCATCCAAAGCATCATCATCATCGTCATCCAAAGCATCATCATCATCGTCATCCAAAGCATCATCATCATCAAATATGTGCTTACCATGTACGATTCTAGTTTATTGTAGACGTAAGAAATATTGGTTTTCTGCCTTATATGTAGCACTTATACGTGTTATTATTTCAAAATCAATATTAATGATGATTGATTGTTAAGAAAAACCCAAACAGGAATGAGAAACGTTACATAAACACACACCCATTTAAATGTGATTCTTTTAGATAGTGATGTAATGATACATGTATTCATGTTTAGGTAGAGTATGAAATGGAAAGAAGGTGTTTTAAACATAATAATATTGTAATCGATAACAAATATTTATTTTGTGTACCTGAGTTTTTCAATAGCTCTGTTTTATATTAATTAAAGTAATTGTAACGAAAAATTACTGAAGTGTGCATTTACTTACTTACTTATTTACTCTTGTTACCACTCGTGGAGAAACATAGGCCAACCACCACAATTCTCCAGCCAACTCTGTCTTCCATTCTCTTTTATAGCTGTCCTCAAATGCTATTCATTCTTTTGATACCTGCCACCAATTCTCGACTCAATCTATTCTTCGATTTATCTCTTTTCCTCTGGCCTTCAGATTTCCAAGTTAACGATTATCTCGTGTTCCAGTTTGATGATTTCTTCAATGTGTATTCTATCCACCTCCAATGCCTTTTCTCGATTTTCTGTTTAGTTGTAAGTTCGTTTGTTCTGTGGTATAGTGGGTTATTGTTTATTGTATCTGGTCAATGAATAATGAGTATTCTGCGTAAAGAATTGTTTATAAATAGTTATACATGTTTGATGATGATTGTGGTAGCTCTCCAAGTTTCAGCTCCATATATTAGAACTGTCTTGACGTTCGTATTGAAAATTGTTATGCTGCGCGGTGTCTGAAACCTGATACTGATGCCTAAAGTGCTATGTGCTCACCACCCAAACTGATTGTTTGAGCAAGACGACGAGAGTGGAAGAAAAAGTCTACTGGGCCACCAAACAATATGCATAAATACTCATGTGTGTATATACATATCTATCCCTTAGGAAATGGATCTATTTCCTAGAAAATGATATACATTTGTCCTTCAGGTCATTTCTAATTATCTTGGCTTTCACCATGAGGCGTCATAATTCTTCTCTCAACTCAGAGGATAGAATTGAAATGGTTGAATTTGTTTAGTCCGGTTAGCATTTCTGTTTTTTTCCAAGATTGTTTTTTACAAGGATGGGTTTGTCGACCCTATTTCTAACTTTCTCCTTTATCGAGGCATGGAACTGACACTTTCTGTATTAACATGGAATATAAAATTCGATCAAAATTCAACATACATCAATCATTTAGTGAATAGTTAAGAAAGTTGATCATACTTATATTACATTTAGGAACTATGGATTAATGGAAAGCTATTTTGTTTTATCATGTAGAGTGTTAGACTGATGTTACAGATAACAGAAGATAATATTCACATAATATTGGAAAGTCATAACAAATAAAACTGTAATCAAGTGAATACTAAATTAAATAGTCTGGTGGTACCTCTGTGGCGTGGGTTACTTATATCCACGTTAGTAGTATATAACGGTGATCAGGCATAGGATGTATTTCAGTAGAAGATCAATAAGGAAAGAACGGAAACGGAACTCAGTTGGTATGATTGTCACGACTTGTGTTCTTGTTCACTACACCTTAATGATAGATTATTCGGTTAGCCTGGAATTCGGTTGGTTATTGTTCATAGCTATGTAATTGTTGTTTGCTTGTTTGTCTTGAATGTTTTCTCTTTTCACCTGTTCTCTCACACTACAGTGACTTATCCTTACTGGTTAATAGGAATCGGTTAATTTTAATTCTATTTGAAAGAAAATGTGTGAACATTTACCTACAAAGATTTATATTCGTATAATTAATTGAAGTATGGCATAACAATGAAAAATGTGTTAAGTAATGTGCAAAGATGGACAGTGGCTAGCAGTGGAATCCAGGATAGGCGTTTCGTCTTATTGGGCACTGATTAGCTGGATGTACCTGCATCTCAGTGTTGATGTTCACCGTGGGACTCAAACCCAGTACCATCCTATTCAAACTTCGTCGTGTTATCCACTTAGCTACTGAGAAGCAGACAGATCCAAATGAAGAGCCCCAAATAGGACAAAACGTGAGCTCTGAATTCCACTGCTAGCCATTATCCATCTTTTCTTACAATGCTTGTGAATTAAGACAATATCGAGTCAATGTACGCAGTATGCACATATGCCAATAAGAGATTGATCAATTACAGTCCTAAATATCAATGGTAAGATTCAAGTAAACAATATCAAGTAAATTCAACCTTCACCCCATTGAACAAGCAAATGGCTATCAGAGTTCACTAGCCAAGTGGATAACGTGATGGCGTTTAGAGCAAACGGTACCGGGTTCTAGTTTTGAAGTGAACATCAACTCTGAGATGCAGGTACATCCAGCTGACCAGTCCTAAATAGGATGAGACGCACGTCCTGAATTGCACTGCTAGCCACTATCCATCTTTTCTTAGAATGCGGCGAGACTATAATTTATAGACGAACCAATCAGATATAAGATAGTGAGTCACGAATTTCGGCGCGAAATTCATCCATACATTTGGCTAAATAGAGTTTCGACATTATAGCTGATGTCAGTTCGTGATGAAAACCCTAAATCTAATTTAAACTCTAACTATCAATTGTAAATGAAATTTCTAACTGTTTTATAACCTTCATTTAGTCCTAATCAGTAAGTGTCCATCGTCAGATTCACTTTAGCGTCACTCAAATGTCGTCCATATATTATAGTCTCACCTAGAATGTTTATGAATTATGACAATATCCAGTCAATACACATAATATCCATATATACCAATTAAAGACTGATCAATTACAGTCTTATAACATCAATAAGAAGATTCAAATAAACAACAATACCAACTGAATAATAAACAATATGTTGATATTCACTTCATATTGTTTGGCTTGTATCCTCCCATTGAGATTTAAGACTGCAATTGATCAGTCTGTTATTGGCATATGTGCATACTGTGCGCATGCCTCGATATTACCTTAATTCACAAACTATTTGTAAGCTATTTGATGGATAGTGGCTAGCAGTGGAATCCAGTTTCACTCGCGTTTCGTCCTATTTAGGACTCGTCAGCTGAATATACCTGCATCTCAGAGAGTGGATGTTCACTCTGCGTTAAGTGAAGTGTTTTGTTGATATTCCTACTATTCAAGATTCATATTCTTTGAGCAATTCATTTAAGTATACAGTTGTTTACATATTATGTAATAGAAACAAGTAACCAAAAAAGAACAATGTTTGTTTTATTCTTATCATTAAATCTGTTGATTACATAATAATAAAAATGATAATAATAATAATAATGGCCCAAAAATAATCAACAACAGTATCCATGCAATACAGATTGTCAAATGTGATATATGACTTTACTTTAATCAATAATGATTCAATTTGTATTGATGACATGATTGTTTATGATTATTGTTGTTGTATTAAGTAAACAATTTTAAAAAGAATGAAAAGAAAAGAGAAGAGAACAATTGGTGTTTATCATCTTCATTATCCTACTCCATTGGGAGTAATAGGCGTAAATAAGTAAATAAGTAGTAAGATTTATGGTGATGCATTTTTTGCAGTCAATGAATTTTTAAATAAACAAATAGAGATAATCACATAAATAGCTTTAATAATACCAAATACAAAGCACATAGTAATTAATGCAACAATATAATGTTGGGCATAATCACTGAATGCTTCTACACAACCCTGATTATATTACACAAAAAAAACAAAACAAAAAAAAAGAAAAAGAAAAAAGAAAGTGAGAAAAATGAAAGTGATAAATTATATAATTGTAAATCAATATTGTAACGTTAAACAAGTTTATATTATGTTACCATTTAAAGATGACACAAATAGTCTCATGTTGAAACGGAGATGTAAATGAGCTAACAACCGAATATTTTATACAGCTCAACTGTGTCATTATTGAAATGACATAGTTTATGTTTCACTAAAAGCCCATACAGCACATAAGCGATTGTGTCTATCAATTTACATGTATGTATGGTAACATGTACATAGTGATTTGCAATTAAGGATGGGTGAATACATATCAAAATGGCTATTTTGTTATCATTAACGTTATTTCCACATCCATTATTTGTTTGTAATTTTTCGCCTCTTTCTGTTTGTATTCTTCACTGTCTAATCATTAACACACTTCTTATTACGTGATGATTTTAATGTCTTGTGTTGACTATTCCAAGTCTATTTACCCCACGTTTGTTTGACTTGCTATTTCCAACGTTCAACGTTTGATAAGACTTTTGTTGTCTTATTTTATTATTCTAACTACTATCAGTACACCTCTCTTCCTACTATAAACTTGTATTTTTACCTTATTCTATTTCATTGTGATTATTGACCCATATTGCCTTGATTGGTTTAACATTTTCGTATAAATATTCATGTATATTAGAGTAAGGCCTGATGACGATCTAATTGAAAACAATATTGTTCGCTTATATGTGTTGTTCTAAAAACAAATGAATTCCAATGGTCAAATAAGATCATAGGATAGACAAACATTATCCTCCATCACGAAACATTTGATTGAGACTGGTCATAAGGTTAACATGAAATCATCTTTTGTAGTGTTGTACAAAAGCCTTCAAGGACGTATATTAGAGTTCATTAAAGCTCTCACTATACGGAAACTGAAACCCCCTTTATGCATTCAAAAATAATTTGTCCTTGACCTTAACACCTCCCCTGGTAATACTGATTTATTATCCAGAATGGTTATCACATTATTTTTGTGTACTTTATTATTGTTTTTCTTCTTTACGGCTTACCTTTAACCTAACTAGTTGACCTTTTAATCTTAATATAAAAAAATGTCTTAACAAGTACATTATATGTGATCAGATTATTCGAAATGTATTGCGTCTTCTCATTGCATTATCTAAATTTACTATAGGGACTAATTGTTTCAAATATTAATAACGCTTATAACAGTAAAAATAAAGAAGTGCACTAGTAAAGTAAATTTCAAAAGAGAGAAAGAGAATTGCTATTAATTTTAATAGTTGAGATCCTGAGTCAATTAGATCTAGATCAGCATGGAAAACTTGGAAGCACTGAACGGCCATTTCGTTCTATCGTGGGACTCCTCAAGATGTATATCCTGGAGTTCTAGTGAGAAGCAGTGACCAGTGAATTTCAACCGGGCCAGTTGTGAGCCAATAACTCACTAAAAGCAATAGTGAATTTGTGGCTCAATTTCGTGAATTTTTGAAGTTAGGTATTAGCACCGTTAGATGGTGACTCGATTGTTTGGTGGTTAAACGTTCGCGCGCGAGACTGATATATCCTGGGTTCGAATCCCACGAGGCGGGATCGTGGGTGCGCACTACCGAAGAGTCCTACAATAGGACGAAATGGGGGTCTAGTGCTTCCAGGTTTTCCACGATGGTCCAGCTCCAGTTGACTCATGATCTCAACTAATGAATTTACTGCAATTTTCTCAAAACGCCTTCTGATACTAATTCCTATTAAGTTTCATTAATTTAATATTGTGCGGTTTGTATACAAGTTTTCAATGTATGAGTGATGAGTTAAGTGAAGTGTTAAAATCAAACTGTGGATATTCATTTGAACTTGATAGCTCAGAAATTTCTATATGGTATTTAAAATATTAGGAGTGTTTGAGCGAACAACTGTTTTCAACAATCTTATTAGGTTTGAAAGTTTTATGACCTGATAGTATTATGTAACATTGGCCAAAATGAGGTAAACATAAATAAATATTGAGTGAGTTGGGGAATGTTGCGTGATAAAGTAGTAAACTTTAGCATCGGCTTAAAGGTTAGAAAAGGTCCAATTTGTGTCATTTGTAGATGCTCTGTTACGCATAAATTCAGTGAAATTATTCAGTTAGATATTGTGTATGGAAATTAGCTCCTGAATGTTGTGATACGGCTAAGGGTGGGGAAAGTCAGCTCTCCCTCTCGAAATGCTCTCTCATGGCCACGCGTATGCAACCACTGCCAGGGAAGTTCTACTCACTGCCTTTTCATGGTATTACTGTTGTTTACGAGATTGAGCGGATGAAAAGCGCTTTAACCCGGTTGGTGGATATGGAGGATCTACCTAGGAGAGTTGAAAAACCCTGATTCCAAACCAATGTTCCACATGAGCTCCAGGATCCTGGAGGAGTAAATGACATATGAGCCAATTATTGGCCACCGGTTACCATGGCACTGCACTTCTTTACGTTGCTCCATTGCCTTGTGGATTAGACTTTTAGGCCAAAGGCTCTGGATGTGGGCCCCCCAAGAAAACCAACTGTTTCGGTTTGGGCACTCGGACAACATCACAGCCCACATACGAATCAAGTGACTTGTATGGAGCATTTGTATTCAATGCCCCTTTGTACCAATATTTATGTTTTCAAATAAATAATAATAAATGTATGGCAGACAAATTATTACGTTTTGTTAACTTAAACCATAAAAGCAATATTGGTTTTGTTACCAATAGTGATAATGATAATAATAATAGTCTTGTGATTTAAATATTTAATGAGTGAAATACGAGAGATCTCATAACAGGCAATTCATGTGAATTGTGAAAGATTTCTAATACTAATAAATGTTTACAATAAATGATTTTTATGCATTTAGTTACCTCATTATGAATAGAAAGTCGTTTCTATCTAATTTAACTTCATTGATGAACCGAAATCAACGTAATCTTTCATTAAATATTTAATTGAATTATCATTGAACTTCAGTGATGAAGATCATGAGTCAGTTGAAGCTAGACAGCCATGGAAAACTTGGGAGCACCGGACGACCACTTTGTCCTATTGTGGGAATCCTCAACAGTGCACATCCACGATCCCGTACCCAGCGGAATTCGAACTCAGAACCTACTGGTTTCGAGCACGAGCACTTAACCATTAGACCACTAAACGGGCATCCAACGGTGTTAATGTCTAACTTCAACTAATCCACGAAATTGAGCGACACATTCACCATTGTCTTCAGTGAGTTACTATCTCACAACAGACCTGGTTGAACTCCACTGGTCACTACTTCTCACTAGAACTCCAGGATATACCTCGTGAAGCCAGTCACTAGCGAACATATGTTGATTAATATCAGATGGGTTTTGCGGATATTATAGTAGTTTCAACGGTGGTCTAGCTTCAAATGACTCATGATGTTAATCATTGAAGTTACTATAATATCCACAAAACTCATGTGATATCATTGAACTATGATTTCTCTCATTCTATCTGATCCATATTTATTTTTGATCATGGAACTTAACAATTTCACTTAACACATATATGTAGATTCAAGTTATTATTCCATGTAAGTCATATCAGCATGAATAACTGTATTCTATTTTGTTTAACAATCCTATAGTTCATATATTTGCACTTTGAACAATACACTTTACCTTTAACTTGACCAATTTATGGATCATTAATTTAGGTATATTGAATGGTTGAATCTGAAAAGAATTGATCTTAAAGAATATTCTTCATTCAATATATTAATCTTTTAATATGATGAAGATCTTTAAATGATTATATAACCTGATTTCAAATGTCATTTGTATATGTTTCTATAACACTTCTTATTCTGATTATCTCTACATAAGTTAGTATACATTGATTATAATGAGGATTATTGTAAACTAACTGACTAACTATTGAATTCATTATAACTTCTTTTGTATCACTGAAATGATCTAAAACTAATCAAAGAATATATTTTCTTTTCTTTTTTTTTCTTTTTTTGATTGAGATCATGAATCAATTGATGTTAGACCACCGTTGAAAACCTGAAACCACTGGACGGCCGTTTCGTCCTAGTATGGGACTCCTTAGCAGTGCGCATCCACGATCCCGCCCCCCGCGAGATTCGAATGTTCTTTTACATAAGGTATATATATTTACAATATTCAGTCTGTTCAATTTATTTATACCCTTGCTATACTATACAAATATGTCTTCAATATAACTTCCAACCAAACCCTTTTATTTAAGTCATTTAAACCAATTATGTAATTATGATTTTTAAATATTACAGGTTGTAAGCAGCTAATGAGAACCAACAAAATAAATGGTATCTGTTGGAATCTATTTCTGAACTAATACTATATATATACTTTTTTGTAGGTTAGAACATTGTTGTCAACTAATGGTAAACGGAAACTTATTGAAATACTTTTTTTCAATAGTTGAGATCACGAGTCGATTACAGCTAGACCACCATGGAAAACCCGGAAACATTGGACGGTCGTTTCATCCTCACCCTTCAGCAGTGTGTATCCACGCCCGCGCCTCGCGAGATTCCAACCCAAGACCTATTAGTCTCACGCACGAGCGCTTAACCACTAGACCACCGATAATTCTATATTGTATCAGAAATATAATACTTAGTAAAGCGACTAATAATAATAATAATAATATACGTAGTGTATTTAGCTTGAATGAATATTGTGAATTGTATGTAACTGACCACAGAAAACAGGATAGAACATAATACAAAATGAGAAGAATCATGGAACTAAACTGTTCATCAAAGAACACTAGTTCAGAGATAATGCTCTCAGTAACATAGTTGTATTACGTAACAATGACAATTTGTACAGATCACTTTCTAATTGTCATTCTATTTTGATAACAATGAAGAAATATAAACTGTTTACATTCATTTTATATTAAATGAATCTGTTATATCGACTGAATTAGTTGATTAAGTAACATCTATAATAATGAAACTCTAATGAATTCTCTATCAAAATCATCATTATACTTTAGATATATAAATCATTAATCATAAATAATTTATAACTTACTCTTGCATAAACTAATTTACCAATAAAACAAGAGAATGGTACAGTTTTATTTGTTTTTATATAATCCAAATATGATGTAGCTCCACAACATCTGAACTATTAAAAGTAAGTGAAATATAAGTATATTTATGTAATATTATTAAAACCAAATATTTGTATTAGAGTTTTGTTCTCTGAACTCGATGGTTTGGTCGTGGAGTATTCATCATTGTTCTTCTGAACGACATTATCATCAGCATAAACTTTAGGTAGAAGTGAAATGTTCAAATTTCTTCACATGTAGTTCACAGCTTCTCTTGTACAATTCGATGTTGATTGATTCTTGTTCACTCCTTTGATATTACTGAGTAGAATAATGAAAGCTACACGACCAAAACATCCAGTTTAAACAATAAACCTCCATTAAAATCATCCACTTGAGTTACAAATCTTCTTCAACATACCAAATATTTTGATAAATAACTTACATTTCTTTGTAATTTATCCATTTCTACTTGACAATAAGGATTTGAATAAAATTGTTTCACAGCTTGTAGTACTGAATGATTAGCGGCTGTTTGAAACTATTTAACAACAACAATAACAACAAATATAAACAAATCACTTCATAATATTTTAACTAACTTTTTCTCCCGTAGTAGCTGTCGCTGTTGCTATGGCAATCTCAATAATTACTGCAAGACATAAACATGCAATATGCTATTACATAAGTAATCAATATAAATTTATTATTTACTAGTATAACAATGAATTTTTTTGGTTTCCATAATCCAATATAACCAATCATTGTACCAATTAAAATAAGGCATCCTATAAATATTGCTATTGGAATGATAGGCGGTATGATTCCATTTAAAATTGTATCGAATTTATTCAATGTTTCTAATCCTTTAATACCCAATGCAAGTAGTACAATACCAAATATCTTGATTAAAAAGGTTAATAAACATGATCATAATGATGAGAATAGATGATTTACTTACAACAAAACAACTATTTAATACAATAAATAATTTTGTCCAAAATTGTTGGGGTAGTGACAAATTCATACTGGTTGACAACAACAAGATAATTGCGAATCGAATTGAAGGCAGCAACTGATTTCTGTAAAACAAAACTAAGATTCAAGTTTTCTAAGGTTTAGTTGTTTAAAAACAAAAAAAATGTGCAAAATACCTATTGTAACACATTAATAAACTGTATGTGTTACATTGTATGTTCAATGATAATTCATATACATTTGATGTATTTGTTTTGAAATTGTAAGTTGTCAAATCATGGCAAAGGATTTTGTTGTTGTTGTTGTTGTTGTTGAGTCAGATTAATATGTGATCTTATTCATTTGTACACATGCAATGTAATTGTATTGTGGATGTGTTGATGTAGAGATGTCAGTTAGACATGTTTGTAATGTTATAGCAATTATGCTTGGATTGAGTACATCCATATATTTCACTTATTATGTATGATACAATGAAGTGTATTGGTATATACATTCTTATCATTAGTTAATATTATATTAACAAATCAGATAAGGGAATAATTAATGAAGTGTAATGCTTAATCATAATATGATTGAAATTATATGGATTGAGATCCCGCCAGCAGGATTGTGGATGCGCACTGCTGACGAGTCCCACAGTAGGACGAAACGGCCGTCCAGTGCTTCCACATTTTCCATAGTGGTCTAACATCAATCGGTTCATCATTTCAATAAAAAAAACTTAACAATCTCCACAACCTCTAAACTGAAGTTATACTGTTAACTTTTAATTCAGTAGTATGTAAGTAAATTGCAGAAGTGTTTGCAACATTCTTATGAACAATTCACTTTGTATTGTTTTACTTGAAATATCCTATTGATGTTTAGGACTGTAACTGATCAGTCTGTTATTAGTATATATGCATACTGTGTGTATTGTTTCGATATCGCCTTAATTTACAAGCATTATTGTAGCTAAGGTAATGGGTTCGAATCCCAGAATGAACATCAACTCTGAGATGCAGGTATATCTAGGTGACAAGTCCCAAATAGGACGAAACGCGTGTCCAACTGGATTCCACTGCTAGCCACTATCCATTTCGCTTATAATTTTTATGAACAGTTATTATTGCCTAGATTATCAAAGTGATGCAAATGTGATAAATGACTGAAGAATATTTATTGATTTCATTGTGTAAAAATCTTTGTTCGGTTAAACTTTATATATGTTAATTACATAATTACGCCTGTGACTCTTTTTAGACATGCAGAGGGCGCTCACTAGCACTCTCTATCTGACCTTGTCATGGGCAAACCTTTCCAGCTCTTTCCAGTTGTTATTCATCCTTTTCATATCTGCTTCTATTTCGCGACGTGATGTGTTCTTTGGCCTTCCTCTTTTCTGTTTCTCTTCAAGATTCCAAGTTAGTGCTTGTCTCGTGATGCTGTTTGATGATTTCCACAATTTTTTTCTTATCCACTTCTAAAATCTTTTCCTAATTTCCTTTCCAGTTGGATACTGGTTTGTCCTCTCCCAAAATGGGGTGCTGCACATGGTATCCGACCAATGGATATTGAGTATATTGCGTAAGCAAGTATTTTTAAATACATGTACCTTTTTCATAATGGTTATGGTAGTACTTCAAGTTTTAGATCTGTACAATGGGACTGTCTTGACGTACAAATCTACTATTAGAATAGAATTTACTATAATGAACAATGACATATAACTCTTTGAGTTAAAATGGTTACTATGATATAATTCATTATTTGTACAATGCATTCATTCTATGGAAGGAAGTGAATAAAAAACTCTGTTAAATCATTTCTAACTAAACATGAATCTCATAGAAACATAAACAGTCTGATAAGTGTGAAAATTCACCTTCATCATACATATAAACGTGAAAGCAACATGATGGTATAAATTCAATCAGAAAAGATTTCACTGAATCATTTCATAGATTGTCAGTAATTATGATATGTGTGAATTTTTGGCAAAACTGGTGAATAGTGTATCAACCTACTGATAAAATGAAACTCTAAACCATAACATTTGGACGATGAAATCGATCCAATTATAAATTGTGCTATTCGAGAAATATATACAACTTACTTACTTACTTACTTACTTACTTACTTACTTACTTACTTACTTACTTACTTACTTACTTACTTACTTACTTACTTACTTACTTACTTACTTACTTACTTACTTACTTACTTACTTACTTACTTACTTACTTACTTACTTACTTACTTACTTACTTACTTACTTACTTACTTACTTACTTACTTACTTACTTACTTACTTACTTACGCCTGTTACTCCTAATAAAGTATGGGCCACCGAACACCATTCTCCAACCCACTCTGTCCTGCGCCTTCCTTTCTAGTTCTTTTCACTTGCTGTTCATTCTTCTTATGTCTATATCCATCAATTGGTGTAATGTGTTCTTTGATCTACCTCTCATCCTTTGGCCTTCACGATTCCATGTGAGGGGTTGCTTTGTGGTGCAGTTCGGTGCTTTCTTCCATTTGTGTTCTATTCACTTCCAGCTCTTCTTCCTGATTTCTTTTTCTGCTGAAATGTGGTTTGTTCTCTCCTACAGTAGGTTGTTGTTGATAATGTCTGGCCAACGGATCTGAATTATTTGGACTAGACAACTGTTAATAAACACTTGTATCTTCTGGATGATGGTTGTGGTAGTTCTCCAAGATTCCGCCTCATATAGTAGAAGTGTGTTGACATCGGTATTGAAAATTCTGACTTTGATGTTGGAATTATCAAACGTAATATATCTAAACATTAAAAGAAATTGATACTCTACATGTTATTTGAAATATGAATCACTGATTGCTTTGAAATAAATAAAATTGTCAATCACAATGTAGCTGAGTATGAAAAAATCATTTAATCTCTCTGTTGATCATTATGACAATGTGTAAAGTGGGTGAATTAATCTAGACAAGTGGAAATTTACAAGCTATATACATATATGCTTTGTATTTGTTGTGAGTAGTATGAACAATGCTTATTAGAAAATAAGAGTAATTGATGAATAACTTACTGGACGATGATGTTTATCAACGTATTCATGAAGATTAATTGTTTCTTTTCAGATTTGAGATAAAGAATAATCCAGACGGTCAAGTAGTCAGCTTCAATGATGCTGAATACAAAGGATAGATATATTATTGTTGTCATTATATAGTTTTGTACGTATTGACAGATTGCTTTAGAACAACCTTGAGAAGAAGAGGAAAGGTTATATACAGTTTGAAGGGTAAATGAGATTGATAGAAATAATAAATTGTTTTGTGGAACATATCATTTAAAAGTTCGTTGAACTCTGATTGTAATAAAATGTCGAAGACAGATTTATATGTAAGGAATTCTTAGTAATTCCATGGTGTACTGTGAGGCTTTTCCCCTGTTTTGAAAGTTACATTTCTATCAGTTTACTTGTTCTACTGAGGTGTATAATATGTGATATTCTGTTTAACGTTGGTTTACTTGATAAGCTTCATTACTTCACCACTCTCTTTTGTATATTTTCTACAGTTACCTGCTAATCAAGAAGTTTGTACTTGGTAGTTATTGATAATGTAGTGACTTTTGTTCAGGTAAACAACTCAAATAGTCAGTAGGTCCTGGGTTCGAATCCCGCGGGGTGCGGGATCGTGGATGCGCACTGCTGAGGAGTCTCACACTAGGACGAAACGGCTGTCCAGTGCTTCCAGGTTTCCAACGGTGGTCTAACGTCAATTAATTCATGATCTCAACCAAAAAAAACTATCTACCAAGCTAAATTTCAATTATGGATTTACTAAGAATATGGATGCTGACCATATTAATCCTGATATGAAGTAGCTCCCTTTATTGTGTAATTATTTATTCTGTGAAATGGAACATATAAAGATATTTTAGACTGAAGAAAACAAACTGAAAGTTCATGTATATCATGTTAATTATAGGTGTTAAAAACATGAAAGTGTAAGGGCTAGTGCTACGGACAAATCAATCTATTCATTCTTCCTAAACCACATTTCTACCCTGTCGATTATTCACTTATTAACCTTGACTGTTTCTATGTAAGCGCATAAATGTGCATTTCTTATCTTACTTATCTCATGTCTATAACTTCTTTTTGTCGGACTATAAATATCGATTCACGCTTGGTTAAATTGAGTTGGCTCACTCACCTTCTCGATTACGCGTCACTTAATTTCGCTACTCTTTCCAACCAATGATTGTACAAAGTATTCATATTCAAACTACATTCTTGTATTTGACTTATTTAATTCCGTTATTCACCAATGCGATGTAAGTCGATGATTATATACGAAGATTAGCGATATATATATATGTATATATTTCGTTACCAAGCAGCAAATGATCAACCTGAAGTCAGATCTCCAGGTCACTAAACAAAGGAAATTACTCAGTTTATTAGTTATCAGTAGCATTAAGCTATTGTGTTATTTTTAAATTATGTTAATACATTGAATTACTAATCACTTAGCGATGATTCAGTTGAAGTTTACTGATTACCGAACTGTTAATGAAATTGATGAAAATGGGAGTATTTGGAATGTAATTGATTTATTTCTGATGTTAAATCTATCCGAAATATGTTCATAGATATCTTCATAGTTGATTGTCGAATACCCTCAATGTGACAGTGGCTTCACTAAATGAATATATAAACGTGAATTTCACAAGCATATTTTTCAAGGATTTCAGTGATTACGACATCACAAGAAAGTTACAGTTCTCGTTGTCATAATAAATGATCAAACTTCCTTCTAAAAAGGATTTATTTAAATGAAACCAACTTGGATCAAGCATTACACGAACGATTAAAATGTGATTACTAAGAGACAGTCGAATCAATACAAAGGACTGAATTGATAAGGGATCGAAAGAAATCCAATAAAAGTTCTTATGGGAAGTGGTTAGCAGTTATATCAAACTAATTCGTAGAATTGAAAGAACAATGACCTTACTTAAGGGGACTGCTCATAAACATTGAAATCAGAAGGAATACTGTAGTTGAGATTCTGTGAATTCGACTTTCAATATACATGAGAAAAAACTTTTATCCAGCTACGTTTCTGATTCTCTTCAAACGATCCTTTCAATAACTGGAGTAATGCACAAACAGTATTCATCATACTACAACATGAATAAATGTCATGCTACATAGTTCACAATCAAACTCGTTAGGTCAGATGTACTTTGTGATAAACTAAATTTGCGTATTTACAAGAGAGATGGTTGGTTTTAGAATTATTTGAGGCAGTGAGATTATAATT